GGTCTCGGGCGCAGGTAGGTGTCCGGCGAGTGGGCCTCCGGGTGGGGGCGGGAGCGAGCCCCGGGGGCGGGGCGGGGCGGCCGCGCTCTCCGCTCGCTCATTGGTCGGCTTCGGCCCGTGGCTCCCTCCTCCCGGACTGTGGGAACCCGGGTCGGCTCGAGGGGGCAGGGGTGAGTCTCTGTGTACTCTCCGGCTCCCCTCGCCCCCCGCCATTAGACCGGGAGCCTGGGGCCCCGGGGCCAGAGGGCGAGCTGGGGGGCTCCTCCCCGGGGGGACCCTCTTGGGGAGACGACTGCAGAATCCCTTGGGAGGTAGGAGAGACCTGGGACAGCGGTCGCTTTCAAGCTCATGTAGTCCCACTGGGAAGCCGTGGGCACACATTCACAGTGGTCACTTTTGGCCAACATCCCACGCGACCGGTTCCACCGGGTTATCCCCCCGGTTCCCTGGGTCCCATGCCCTCTCCTTCTCTAGGACTTGCGGCGGGAGTATGAGGGGCCTCTCCTGCAGGTCAGCTGCTTCTCCACTGAGCTCTGCCATCAGCCACAAACCTCTCTAGCCTGACTGCTCTCCCCTAGTGTAATCTAACCCCTCGCTCTTCCTCCCCTTACGGTACAGGAGTCAGTAAGTAGTTCGGTGTAGGGTCAGATCCTGTCCTTATTTAAATATTAGTATTTTGTTCATCATTGTTTTGCATTGATTTTAATTTTCCAAAATATTGCATTAAAATATTATTTGTCTTATTTAAGAGCTGAAACTATAAAACGTTTAGAAGAAAACCTAGGAATAAATCTTCACGATGTTGGATTTGGCAGAGGTTCTTAGATACGACACCAAAAGGACAAAACCCAAAAGAAAGCATAGAAAAAGTGGATTTCATAAAAATTAAATTTTTTTCTGCATCAAAGGATGCTATCAAGAAAGTGAAAAGACAAACTACAGATAAGACAATGGGCAAAAATAGTTGCAAATCATACTGGATAAGAGTTTAGTATCCAGAATACATAAAGAATTCTTACAACTCAACAGCAAAATGACAAACACCCCAACTTAAAAAAGAGCAAAGGATGTGATTAGACATGTCCCCAAAGAAAATACACAAAATAGCCAATAAATACCTAAAAAGATGCTCAACATTATTAGTCGTCAGGGAAATGCAAATTAAAACCACAGTGAGCTATCACTTCACACCCAGTAGATTGGCTAGAATTTTGTTTTTTAAGGAAAATCAGTATTGGTGAAGACATGGAGAAACTGGAACTGTCATACACTGCTGGCAGGAATACAAAAGGTGCAACTGCTGTGGAAAACAGGTGACTCCTCAAAAAGTTAAACATAGAACGTCCTGGCCATTTTGCACAACTAAAAGACGTGAAAACAGGTATGCAGAGAAAGCCTCGTACACAAATGTTCGCAGCAGCACTATTCAGAGTTCCAAAATGTGGAAACAACCCAATCGTCCATCAAGAGATGGATAAACAGAATGTGGTCTAGATCCATGTAGTGAAATATTACTCAACTGTCAAGAGGAATGAAGGACTGGTACACACTACAATGTGAAGGAACCTCTGAAACACGCTCAGTGAAAGACGCCAGGAATAAAATCTCACTTTTTTCTTAACTTCATTTTTAGAATTTTGTTTTTTATTGAAGTGTAGTTGATTTATAATGTTAGTTTCAGGCAGACAGCAAAGCAATTCAGTTATGTATATATACATATATACACACATATTTTCAGATTCTTTTCCATTATAAAAGCTCACATATTGTACGATTCCATTTACATGAAGTAGCCAGGATTGGCAAATCCACAGAAAAAGTAGATTCATAGTTGCCAGGGGCCGGCATGAGGCAGGAATGGGGCGTGACTGCTTAATGGGTATGAGTTTCCTTTCAGAGTGATGAAAATGTGATGGTGTAAGACTGAGCTGATGGTTGCAAAACATTGTGAATGTATTCAGTACTACCGAATTGTGTCCTTTAGAATGGTCAATTTATGTGAATTAAAAATAGATCATTTGTCCTGATTACTGAGGATTTTGGCACCCTCCCCTGAAGGAGGCAGGGAGCTGGGGAACCCAACCCAGGACCTGTTGCTTAGAGACTTCTTTAAAGGTTTAAAATGAACCTGTTTAAAACTTACAGTTGGCCTTACGTGATCCTCCTGCTTGAGTGATGGAGAAAGCCACCCTGAAGGAAAAGAAAGCCCTGTGACTGGATCTAATGATGATGACCACATTGTTTAAGGGACCCACTTGCTTGACCTAGCTTGACCACATTGCATTAGCTTAACTGCGTTGCTTGAGGTCCTTAGTTACCTAATTTTAGCCTGACTGCAGGGTTTGAGGGTCCCTAGAGCTTGCATTTGCAAAGTGTTTGTTCCACAGAGGAGAAGGAGTTGGAAGCCAAACAGGAAAAGAGCGGCCAATGGAAAGGGGACAAGAAGCACCAAAGGAGACAGATAAAGGGCCCCAGTGAAGACCCCAAGGGCGGGAGCTCTTACGTCAAGCCACCGGGGCTTACAGAGCACCCACTCCAGTGTCTTTGCACTTCAGTGTCTTTTCCTCTTTTCAGCAATAAAACAGCTTTCACTCTGCCCCTTTGTCTCCACTGTGAATTCTTTCATGGCCAGGAGACAAGGACCCACTCTTTGGGGTTCTCTGGGGGCTTCCCTGCCCACTAACACCACCCTTAAATTTTGTGCCCAAGGCAGCAAGTCCCTCCCAGTCCCCCACCCTCACTCCAGTCCAGTGTAAACGCGTGTCACTTTGGAAAAGTGGTAGCATCTGGCTAGTAGAAGTGATCATAACTGGACCCCGAGCCTCTGACATTCCACTCGTGTGTGGCCTGGAGGCCCCAAAAGGCTGAAAACGACACACAGGGTGACAAGAAGCCCCTACAGGACCCTCACAGGGCCTGTGCATGAGCCTCGCCCTGTATCCTCTCCAGGGTAGAGGCTGAAGTGGTGACAGTGTCTTTGGAGACCAAAAAAAATGTGATGTGGCATTCCACACTCCCCACCCCTCAGCAAGTAGCACCCTGGACCTGTGCCCCTGGAGGGCTGGGGCCCAGAAGCTGGTGTCGGCTGGGGGAATCAAGGGCTGTGGTAAGGAAGGATGCACTCCTGGCTGGTCTCTGGCCTGGCTGTAGCCATGGGTGTGCCCCCTGGGTGGTCACACAGGGCCTCACACTTAGAAGGGCCCCGTGCTTGGTTGAAAGCTCTGCTGTCGCCATCTTGAAATTTTTAAGTTTTTGAACAAGAGCCCCACATTTTCATTTTCCACAGGGCCCTGAAAATCCGGTAGTCAGTCCGTTAACAGGGGCCATCATTCCCACTGCTTACTGCCTCCACTGTTGCAAACCCTAACCAAGTCAGAATCAGCCCACTTACGTACAGATCGTTCCTCCAGCAACCAGGCCTAACGCCTCTGTCCTTTCATTCCTGCCCACCTACAATCTACTTCCCTCACAGCAGAATGATGCTTCCAAACTGGAAATCAGATCAGGGCCCATCCCTGCTCAAAGCCCTCCAAAGACTTCCCAATCCACTTGAGATAAAATTCAGATATGTGACCGTGACCTAGGAGACCCCACATGCTCTGGTCATTGGCCATCTCTCCAGCTACATCTTCTACCACTCTCTGGCCGCCCTGCTCACCCCGGCACCACTACTAACCCTCTCTGTCGCTCCTGCCTCAAGCCTTTGCACTTACAGCTCCCTGTGCTAAGAATGTGTACATGCCAGACAGAGCCCCAAAACACAGGAAACAAAAATTGGCAGAATTAAAGAGTGAAACAGACAATTTCAGTCAGAGTCAGAGACAGTAACATCGTCTCTCAACAATTGATAGAACTAGATAAAAATTCAGAGAAGACTTAGATCCAAGCAACACTACCATCCACCTTGACCTAACTGATAATCTACAGAACACTCCACCCAACAACTGAAGAATACACATTCTTTTCAAGTGCACATGGAACATACATTAAGACAGACCACTCCAGCGGCTTTCAAACAAGTCTCAATTTGTTTAAAGGGATAAAAGTCATACAGAATGTATTCTCTGACCATAACACAATTCAATTAGAAATTAATAGCCGTAAGATTTTTACAGAAACTCCAAATATCTGGAAATGAAACAACACGCTTTAATTCAGAGGTCGAACCAAAACAGGGGAAATTAAAAATATTTATAATTGAATGATAATAAAAATACCATAAATGTGCGGAAGGCAGTTAAGGAGTGCTGACGGGAAACTTGCCGCGGTAAATGCTTCTGTTATAAAATAAGATCTCAAATCGACGACACAGGATTTCACCCCGAGAAAGCAGGACAAGAAAAGCAAGGAAGAAACCCAGAGAGCTCAGGGCCGCTCAGGGGCCCGCAGTCCCTCTTGCTCCCGCGCCCTCGCCTTTGTAACCAGTTTTCCGGGGGCAGGGTCCTGTGAGGGGCCTTCTTT